TAACGGCGGCGCTGGGGCGAGCGGGTGAGGCGGGATTGCTAAGCTCCCTTCCGGGCGGCTGTAGCACATGTGCGTACACGGTAATGTCGACACGCCGCAACTTAAGTTCTCAAAGCGAGCGAACAACCTGTGCGATACACGAAACTTTGTCTGCTTGTTGATTCCAAATCTGTCCGATAGAAAGGGTGTTCCCGGCAACACGCTGCCCAAATATGTTGTGTCTTATGTGCAACAAGCGTACCTATATGGCAAAAATGAAGACATGCAAGTTCAACCCAATAGGGTTCAAGTTGAACTTGGAAATAAAAAATGAGTGGCGTGGCGTGGTTCTCCAGAAATATAAATGTGTTACGTGTTGTCGTTTCCATTTCCCGCTTGGAATGAGCGCCACTTATGTACAGCACATGACGCTTCAAAGGCACAAACACGTTACGCGCATCAAACCAAACCCACTGCCGACGACGATATGACAGTACGCATAATTCCATACAGTGGTACTATTTCCCCACAATATAAATAGTGGGTACGATTTGTCTGGTCCGGTGAAAACCCGGCGTGCTCCATCCCGGCTTTGTATGGATGCGAGGTCAATTCTTCAACAACGACTACGGCATGCACGGCAATGATGATGAGTACACCCACCGACATGGCAACACAAATAAGCGCTGACGCACCTGGGGGCCCGCGCGGCCGCACCGCTTGTCCCGAGACATGTGGGTGCACACCAGCACCATCTTCTTATACGACACGGGGACGGGCTTGAGCTGCGTCGCCACTTCTCCGTTGATGAGCTGGACGTTGAGGAACTGCTCCAAGGAGCTCGTGTCGTCTCGGGAGAGGGAGTAGATTAGCCCCTGGAGCACGCAAGAAACGGCCCATCGAGACCGAGACACGCGGCCAAGGGGTGGGGGGGGGGAGGTTCGGTCCTTGGATGTGTGGGTTTTATCTTTGGTGCAAAAAAAAAATAACGGCCTGCAATTTTGACCTGAGAGAGAGAGCACAGCAGTTAGTACGAGCGGGGTGGGTAGGACCTGCCTTTCCTGCAGCAGCGCCGTTCGCGAAGGACTGAGACCGCAAGATGGCCTCTCATCTGCACCCGCAGTAGAAGCAAAAGCGGCACAGGGGCAACAACGACGACTACTTCTGAATACTACCCCAGAAACTCAAACGCTTTGTCGCCTGCTGCCTCACCTCCGGGTAAACGATGACGTCAGTGGTGCCCTCGCGCCCGCGCGACGGCTCCGAGCAAGCCGAGATCTTGACCTGGCGGGTCTTGGGCACGCCCGCCTTCTTCGCCGCCAAGGCGACCTTCTTAGTGAAGATCAGGCCTGCGCCCAGGCACAGGTTGAAGAGCGACTCGGCCAACGACGACTCTTCGGCCTCGACTACCTTCGGCCAATTCTGGTGTCCACTGAGAGAAATGGAGCGGGGCCGGGGGGCGGGGGGCGGGTCCGTTGGTTAGCGGGGTGGGCCGAGGAGACATTAGGCGGTCAATCGCGCGTGAGGGCGGGCTTAAGGGCACTCTTCGTGTGTTTCCCGCATGCTTGCGTCAGAATCAGGGGCGCCCACAGCCCAGCTTTGTCCACGGAATGTTTTCCTTCTGGATTACGGGGTTCCACCGTACGTGGAATCGATGTGCTTAAAAAGACTGCAGCCCGGGCACCACAAGCATATTTTTGTTGAAGTAACATCTCGTGCGTCTGCCATTCTAAGCCGATGTGCAATACCCACGTGACTCGGGCCGCACGTTTATGCATCACGTTGACTTCGATTTTGGGGAAGGACAAACATACGACATGTCGTTCGGTCTTCCTAACTGCCACCAATGACAAAATCCGTGCGAACAAATTGCGAAAAAAAATATCCCATTACTGTACGTAAAACATGAGTCAATCGTGATGTGGCGCAATGCACACGTATCGTCTCTGGTGGGTGAACGAATAAAATGTATTCTGCAATACCGGCGGCGGGTAAATAGTGCCGCGCATGCATGTATGCATTGTATTTCTCGAACGAGCTGCATAGTAGAAAATTGCAGCACAAATAGGTCTGGCGGAGGCCATGGTATCATGAAGTATTTTAAGGCCACACAAAATCCACCGGGTGTGCACAACACGGGGAAACTCGAAATTGAGAAAGACTCCGAGGACATAACAACGATTGAGCCGAGAAATCGCGAGCCAGCCGTTACTACTGCACCGCAGTCTCGAAAAGCGGATCAAAGGCGACGAACTGCTGTTTAGATGAAAAAGCAGGCACGGCGCAGAAGCAGGCAACTATCTGTACCGTACGCAGGTACGTCTGCCGCCACTTGAGCAGGACGCGGCGCGTATTGGAGACCTACAATTGCCCGATGACCAAAGAGGTGGTTCGACCGTTGGTGTAGTTGGTGTACAACAAACGAACAGGCGGCGAAGGCGGAGCTATACAGCTAGACGTATCCTTTGGTGAATGCTGTACCTTCTTTGTGGGAGCATCATGCGCCAACGTCATATCGTCTTCGTAGTTATTCATCACCCCCAAACAAGCGGTGCCACGTGTTTGCCCGGCAAATGACTACACTGCCGCGTGTGCGTTCTGTACGTGCCAAGCAAGCGGCCCGGTCTGTTGTCTGGAGCAACACTGGAGCACATTTGCCATCGTGTCACAGCATGACGCACTCAAGTCATGGGAGGGAATACCACAACTTGCTGTGGTCGGGAACAGCGGCCCGGGATCACCACCGACCTCACCTGCAGATGATGATGTGCCTCTCGTACGCGTGCATCGTGCCCTCGATCGGTCCGGGCTCCATCAAGCCGCAGTCACACCCCCCACAGGGCTCTTTGGGAGCAGCTGGCCCGTCGCCCGCCTTCCGCATCTTCTCCGATGTTTCCTTCACCTCTGCTGTCTTTCTTCCAGGAGAGGTTGACACGTCGCCTTCCGACCCGGCTGCCGACGACGAACCCCTAGACCTGCTGCCGGTGGCGGTGCTGCTACTGCCGTAAGCGCGGGCGCAGAGCAGAGCGCCGGCGCCCAGTGCCACCAGGCTTGCGCCGGCAAGAGCTTGACGAGACGAAGGAGCCATGAGATCGTTGGCCGCTGCCGCTGCTGCTGCTGTTGTCGAACGATCTTCACGGGGGGTGCCGGACCGATGAGTGATGTGTGATGCAAGCGTCCCAGTGGGGTGGCAGAGTACGCGCCAGCAGTGGTGAGGGAGGCAACGAGGCACGCGCGTCCACAATGACATCGGAAGGCACACGAAGGATTTTTGAGTCAACGAGGGCACGCGCCGGTACTGTTAGAAAGCGGCCCGACTGCGTTCGGTTCAAAGCCGAATAATTCCGAGATGCCGGATGTGCGGATGTGCGGAGATTGAGGTTCGATGTACTGCTGTAAAGTTCTATGGATGGTGTACGGCACACCCAGTACAATAGGGGAGCCGTACGCACGTCACACGCACGTGCCGCAGGCAACACGCACGCGCCCCCGTTGAAGTCTGCCCGGCAGCTGTTACTGATTTTCCGGCTCATATGGCCACAGGAGTTGCTCCGTCGCCCTGGCGTGCCCTCGGCTTCTGGGGGATTCTGACTGCCAACCTGGGACGGGTGGCAGGGTTTCTCCCGACGTCGAGTCCACCCAACATCAAGTGGGCACGTCATCATGCGCACTTCCAGCACCTAACGCAGGTTAGCAGGTTAGCCCTTCAAATGTACCACGAGGGCTGTGACGCGTACCCTATAGGTTTCATGAGATACCAGCCCCCCCTCGAGACCGATTTTGAAGCCAGTATGGAATAGCATAGCATAGACTACTGCTGAGTACCCCAGGGTAGTTCGGCAACGAAACAAGGCGTCAGCGCAGAGCCTTCCGAAAACATACCATTTGGGTGTAGCACCGTCGTCGTCATGGCGTAATCGGGCATTGAAAACCGGTCTACGAGGTGTAGACAGACATGTTTAGCCAACGGTACAGACCGTGCAGCTTTGTGTTGCATATGCATACATCAAGAGTCGACGTCATCCCCCTTTTTGGCCTCGGATCCTCCTCTGCCTGTGCTGGCTCTATTCGTCCTTGGACTACAGTAGAACATTCGCAACCACAGCGTAGCATAAAGGACGGTGCTGTAAATCTATCTGTGACTGCACTTGCTTCGACAGTACGACTACTCTCCTGTCAAGTGATTTGGGTGCGCAAGCGGTATGATTTCGTAAATTCGAAGCTGTAAACCAGGTGGCCCAGTTCTGGGTGCTTGGAGTGGAACGCAGGTCGTCCATGACGGGCGGTAGATGGGGAAAATTCGTTGTATTATTGGGAGGCGTGCTTGAGCTCGTCAGTAAATCACGGCACCAAGTCGCGCCACACGCTCAAACACCAAAACGAATCTCCATGAATCTACACCATGACACTCCTTCAGGAAAATATCGCGAAACTTCCCGTTCCTCCGCACCTCGTCACTGCAATCTCCGTAGATGTACTGTATACTTGTACCCAAGATATCACCCTTCATCTTGCCTTCATGCCATGCTACGAGTATATCGAATACCCTCCTGCTTCGGCGAAAATCAATAGTACTCTCTTGGGTACGAACTCCTCCAAAACAATAAAGAACAATCCCAAACATAACCACCAAAAACATGGTGGTACATCTCCACCGAACTCTCTTTCTCTCTCTCTCTCTCTCTCTCTCTCGCTCATTCTCTCTCTCCCTGCCCCCCCCCCTCTCTCTCCCTCCACGATAGAACACGATTCGACCCCAAAACACTTCCTTCACTGCAAATTAATTACAAAAGTCGCCGCAGTGCAACGCAAAGGACTCCTCGTTAATCGCCGTCGCCAAGAAATCTGCATGTTGAAACTGCGACGTCACACGAGTGATCGAAATCTCCTCCCTGCCTACCAGCTCCCTGACAATGTGATGCCGTATATCGATGTGCTTCGAGTTGGAGTTTGTGACCAGGTTGTGCGCAATCTGAATCGCTCCCTGATTATCCTCCAAGACCGGACATGCACGGCATACCGGCAACTGGCAAAATATATTAAACGCCTAACATGCCTCATGAACGACACTTCCTTCAAGACGTCGGCGATTGCCACATGCTCTGCTTCCGTTGTGGAAAGCGTCATGCACCTCTGCGTCTTTGAAAACCAAGTCACGCACCCACCCGCACACATCACCAACCCTCCCGACTCCGACCTCCGGTCTGCCGCCTTGCTTGCGTTTTTTGTTCGATAAAGGCGACGCATTAGACTACTTGAACAGCCAGCGCTGTGTTCAAGTAGTCTAGTGTTGCTGTTGCTGTTGTCAATGATTCGCCTTTATCGAATAAGATCAAATAGGCGCCGCCCATCCACAGCACCCCTGTTGCAGCCAACGGTGTCGACTACATACGTATGGGCTACAAAATCCACGTGTCTTTCGCGAAGGGATTCATCAATTGAAAATCGTCCCGTTTGTTTCCATCGCACGCGTCTACCTTTGCAAAATAGATGGGTTTGTATAAGCACAGCGATGCCAACGTGGTCGACAAAATAGAGCTGGTGTTGCGTCTTCGAGACATTCACGCGCTGAATAACTCGATATCAGCCCGATTCGGCGAAATTGTTGGTTTTCTTGTGCTTGCTGGTTTCTACCAATATCGTGGCTTCCCCGCCGATCAATCTGGGGCTGCTGCTGTTCGGCGTTCGTGATGACTGTGATCCTCGTGATGGCGATCCAACCAAGGCAAACCCCTGAGCCTCATATATATCTACTTTCGTGTCATCAGGCGTATCGCCAAGCGCTGGGTGGCGACCTTTGTTCCTGCTCTCCCTCCAAACGCGTCAAGTTCCTCTCGAGGCAGCTGTGCGGCACCTCTCTAGCCAGCAATGGCCGCGTTGCCTCGACCTACACAACGATCCTCCAGACCAAAACAAACGCACGGAACACAAGCTGTTCGCGGGTTCTAGGCTGCGACCACAATTGAAATGTTTCTCGTTCTGATGCAAAACCTCTGTATGGCGCAGTGATGATGGAAGCAATGGCCCCGTTGGGCACAACGGGATAGCATGGCCGGGATCACAATGTAGTCGGTTTACCGTTCGCAAGAATAGCCTTCGAGTTTGAAGGCAAAGGTACTTCATCGGCAAACAGGCCGCAACGAGTGGGGTAAGGAAAGTGCTCCGCAACTTGTGCTGCCCCCCCCCCCCCCCAAACCCGGCAGAGGCCGAGCCCTCGGCGCTGGCATGCCAGCAGCTCCTCCGCTATGGCGAAGATGGGGGGAGCTCCGCCGGACGACTTCATAGACACTACGGCTGAAGATGAACCTGGGTCCGAGCGTCTCGCGGTGGACTTTGAGCGACAGGAGCTTCGAGTTATATTCGAAACCATGGATAAGAACAACATTTTCTACAAGATGCTGGCAGAGGATCAAATTGTGAGGAAGCGCCTGATTTCTCGCCTGATAAGTTCTGGTTTCGTCTGCATCTACCGGGGTGGGTAACGTTTTGGAGCGATTGTGGCAGCAAAATGTCTCGGATACACGGCGGTGCCGTTCCGTGCGGGAAGCCGTGAGCATCATGCCCATTAGGCTACCGTAACAGCGCTGGGGTTTCCCTGGAAGGAGGTTAGGACAAAGGGGCGCGAGTTTTGCCCTGCGCGAGGGAAGCCAACGCCAGAGGTCGACCACAACCGTGCGCGTGTTGGTCATTCCTAAGGGTAGGTCAGGAAGCCGCATTGGATATGAACACGGAAAGAACAACCCGGGAGGAGAGAACCCCAGGCGATTTGTTCCGAAAAAAACATGGCCGTTGTACATGCTACCCGCGGTCTCCTTGCACGGTGCACTCTCGCAAAAAGAATGCTTCCATCAGCGCTAACATTGCCAAACACCACCTACTTCATTTTGCCGGGGGATGTTCGTTTTGCTGCCGGAGTGCAATCCCGCAGGGCACAACGACTCCCGAGCCCGGACTCGGTGAGTGCTGATACCCCACCACCCCAGACAAACAAAATATTCCCTAGAGTAGCTTAGAGCAGGGGGCGGTACAAGAAAGGAAATATAACAGAGTCCCCCCGAGACTATCTTTGGCAAGTGTCTGCCACAAGGCATGTAACCCAAGAAGCATCGACAATTGCCAGCCGCGAACGAGGGGTTATGCATGGGGTAGCTCAAGGGACAGTTCTTTGCTCTTGTACCTTTGCGGCACCATGCCCCTTTTTTGCTCTTCCTGGTCAGAGATGGTATGGACCAACATGTGTGAAAGCATACCTACATTCGGAGAACCCCCGTGTTCTTGGTCACCATTTCGTTCGTTTCCCTCCCCGGTGTCACCCGCTCGCCCACTACATTTCCCGCTGGCGCGCACCTTGTCATCGCATCCCCTCTTTGCAATGCTGGCGCCGAACACCCCCTGCTGCGCATGTCGTCTGTGCTCCCGACAAAGGTGGAGATTCTGCAGTTGACGCAAGCGCTTTTGTCCGTCAAGAAGATGCCCCAAGACATCTCGAAGGTATGTGCAGCGTCGCCCCACACGAGCGCACAACACATGTGAGCCGAAGCACCGCCCAAGCTTATGTGTAGATCTGTCACGCAGCCACCATCCCTGCGAGACGCCATGGCAACATGAATACATGGCGGCGACTCTTCCGGTAACGAAGGGCGTCGAGTTTTAGAGCATTGTCTCGGCATGATTCGTGTTGGTGTTGCTGAGTCTCCTCCAGCGCGACGTAATTGCGCCGATCCTTTTGTTTTGTCACGGCTCTCTCCAATCACACCCCCTGTTTCAATCGCGTGCGCCTTCTTAGCTGTGCCAGGGCGACATAATGAAAGGCAAGTGGAAGCTGGACTTCTCGACGGAGGAACGCTATAAGGTCAGCCTCGTTCGAGTCAAGCCAACTCTGCGCTCGCCCCGATAATTTCAGAGATGCATGTGCCCACAAAACACAGCACCACGTGCCCCGGGATGCTTCGGCTTCGCCCACCGCAGCAGCGCGTGCTTTTCGAACACAGCAGTGTCTATCCTTGACAAGCCGATGCCTCGGAGCTGTGTTGGTTGTATTGTCCAACATCTTATTATGTGTTCTGCGTTTCCTCGTGACCGGCTTTCGAGCAAGCTAGACTCGTCATGAATAATTCCGTTTTCTTTTTCCCACGCCAAAACCTCGCCGCGACACGTGCTCGTTTGGGATTCGACCCTCGCTTGACTCGAGAACAGTTCCTGCCGCCCACAAGCGACGTCTACAACTACATCTACGACGGGGCCGGCGGGGGGCGGCTCGACAACGTCCTCCGCTTCTACAAGTCTTGGGCCGTGAAGAGCGTACGTGCGGTCACTAATTATAACGTGAGAGCGAGATACGTGAACGCGAGAACGGCGGGTCGCCTTGACTCGTGAAGCAGGCCGGCCCGCTTCGAGGGTTCAAGGGGGATATTTTGATATTGTGATATTTTCATGGCACCGTCAGGAGTGGTGCTCTCTGGGAGTGGGTGTAGGTGCATGCGCGATGCCGCGGTCTTTCCTACTCTTCCTCTTCTCTCACTTTTTGTGTGCGTGAAACCCCAAACTAATAACGATATCGTCTCCCACTTTTCAAAACCGCTGTCGCTCTTCGACCGATATTTCTGCCTTGAATTTTGAACGCTTCCGGCGTTGTTTATTCTTCTCATATTTCACTCGTGACGCCGCCGCAATCTGGTAGCGCCCTCGGCAAAATGTGAAGCAACCCAACCCAACATCGATGTGCTGTTTTTGCAGATGGATGATCGAGGCAAGATCTCGTTTGAGTTCGACAGGATCGAGGCCGACCTATTCGGGTTCAAAGTTCCGCTGCCAAATTTCAACGCCGACGCCGGCTTCGTCGAAGTACAGGTGTGACCGGGAGTACCACAAAACTCTGCCCCAGCCACTACTGATGGTCCTGACCTACTCCCCCGTACCACAAGCCCGGACGTGGACCCCTAGCCTGATTGCACTCCGAACGTTTTTCTCTTTTGCGAACGCTTGGGTTGAGCTCTGAGCGCAACCGCACTCTTTTTTTGCCCCATACTCCACGTAGCTCCATACGTGGAGATGCACCAAAATTATGTTCACCTCCGGGTAGTTTTGGTGCTTGGTGACCTACCGCACGATGAAACGGGCTCATGACTGGTGCGTCGAGGTGGCCCCGTGAAGTTCAAGAAAGCAGGGAGGGGGGTATGTTCGAAGATGTCTTTCGACGCCTTCTCGACGGCAGATCCCAGGGTGATTTTCTTTGGTGTTTGTTCGCGCGTTCGGGCCCGCTTTCTTTCTGCCTGCCGGCCCGTCTACCTCTCTGTGTACTTTACCAACCTTCCACGTCTGTCGGTTTTTCTGTGTGCATCGTGTCCGTTGGGCCCCTGCCCTGTCTGGAAATACTACGAAACAACCAAGTACTTTGACGGAGACTTGTGGATCGAAGCGTTCGAGGCCGACACGACCATGACCGAGAGCGGGAAGACGACCGTGGTCAACATCTACAGGTGACGCGGATCAAGCGTCTCGCTTCCGAGTGTCGTTTGTCACTCAAACCGCTTTCGTCGTAGAGTACAACACGAACACGAGTATTGTAACACGTCTTGTGATGGCTGCCTGCGTAGGTGTGGGCCGTTGCGTGCGTGCGTTCTCCCCCTCGTCTTCACGCTTGTCTGGCACTTCTTCCCCCGTTGTTTTGCCTTTGCCTTGGCCTGTGTATCGACCAGACGAATAGGCGACGCCACGGAGGAAGACAAGGTTCGCGTGCCGGAAAGAACGGGGGAGCAGCGCCAGCCCCGACGGTAGCGCGTGCGCCCGTTACGCCAAAACACGAGCCTTACGGGTCACGTCGAAATGCGCTGGGCGCGCGAGAGCCCCTGGGTGGTTGAGGTGATACTCGCCCGAGATATCGCCGAAGGGGGCGGTGGTCGTGGAAGTCTAATCACTAGCGTCCTTCGAGACCATCGTCGCACGTCCTTCCCTTCGTGATGTGGCGAGACCGGCAAGGGGCAAGGGCAGCGTATAGAACTATTAAAATAACAACGTATCTACCCACCACATACTTTGGGTTTCTGTTGAGCACTGATAGCCTACCGCTTCCCTGGTTTTTGGGTGCGAGTTTGGAGTTCCGAGTGGCGTCGGCGGATGTGAGATAAACAGTCGGTGGTCTGATGCATCCACGAATAGTTTTTTTCACAGGAGACTGGCGATGCGGTCAGCGTCAGTGTTGCTTCCGTCGGATTTGAAGGTACGCGCCCGCTCATGTGTGTTCATGCGCCCGTATGTGATTCTTCCATCCTTTGGTGCGGCGTGTTCCTCCTAATAGGCGTGGGTCGCGTTGGATTGGCTGAGTGGGGGGTGGCTTTGTCCTCCCGCGTTCCGAGGGCCTGGTGATATTTCTTGTGGCGACCTAGTCTAATCGCGTAGCTGCATTGGAGCTGGGATCAAAAAGTGGCCCTCCGCAATGCTCCAAGAGATTTATTGGTATCGTCTTTCTTGTGACGATCGAGATTCACTATCGCGCCGTCTCTTGTGGCGTAGGAAGAGTCATCCTGGTCAACGCGTACGCCGGTTCTCCCTCTCAAGAATTTGCTCTTGTGCCTCTCTCTATCACGACACGCTGCAAACTTTCGAGACGGTCGCGTCCACCTGTGAAAGTGGCGAGGGTTGAGCGCAGACGGATGGACACACGCGGTGCTCGTTGCTTGAAGCAGTCAAGGCGGAGGGAGGGTCGGTGTAAATTTCATTCCCGGGACAACGAAAAGGTTATGCATGCGTTAACTCCGATTCCGATATGCTTTTTAAGCCCTGATTGAACGCCCGAAGCCGACTCAAATAGTCCTCTGCTGATTCGCTATTGGGGATTTGGTTTGGGAAAATATCGGGCTTCCCCACAGAGGTGAGCAGTGGTGTGGGTGACAGGACCATTCACACACGGACTATGACGCTCAATAGCATTGCGAGAGGTAGAGTGAGCCCGTCCATGTGTTTTTCCAGCGGGATAAAGTTTACGAGAGCTCTTCTCACTGATGCCTGACCAAGGGCAGATGCAAACACCTTCACCGCATCCGATAGCCGATGTTATCATGAACTTTGGCTTGGAGGGGGTCGCTTTGAGCATACCTTTCGTTTGGCCGCAAGGTATGCCCCTGGTCGTTCCTTCAGCAGCGCCCTTCGCTGCTCCTGCAGTATTCGAATCTCTTCCTACAGGCACAGCAGAGACAAGAAAGTCAGGCAGGGAGATGGCCGAGAGACGGGTGTATTGAGTGGCCGCCTTTCGCATCGTCAAGGTTGGCATTTGACCGACGTAGTTGGTGTCTTGTCCAACGGGGTTAGGGGCAAGCAGGGAGGCCTCGCCTCTTCGACAGCGGTTTGCTACAACCTACGTTGCCACGGACTGCAACGAACGAATGTCTGATTCCGCATGTGTTGGAGGTGTACGTTCGGCAGGTGGCGTCGGCGGAGGAGATGGCATAGCTGCGCATTTGATTCCAGCATCGTCACCGACTCACCCCCCTTAAAGAAAGGAGAGAGCGCGTACGCCAACAGCTCCCAGAACACGCTTGGCAGTTTCGGTATGCGACGAACGGCGCGACAAAGATGCCTAGCGAAAACAGTTCGAGGTTGCGAAGCCTTAGATGAGCTGCGGCAGAGGGGGCAAGATGCTGCTCTGCACACGTCTACGTCATAGTCACCTTTAATCGGAGCTTTGTCTCTTCTATCTTCTGGGCCTTGTTTTCCAACGCGTCGTTCAGGCGCTGGAGTTGCTCAGCATCCTCCGCGTGGTCTGGGTGTTGAGGGCACACGCACAATGGCGGTAGAAATACCATTGGTTTCAAGCGTCGGGCTGGGGGGAATAGTACTCTCTCGTCCACTGGCCACAAGCATATCTCCAACTGAGTCGATGTACAGCTTCTCCTCCAAAACGTATCGAAGGTTCAGCCTTTCTTTTATCTGCTTAACCAACGGACGGCAAAGGTGTACCCGGTCGAATTTCGCCGCCTCTTCCCCAAACGCCCATTCAATCAGGTTTCTATCCCCCCAAAAGTATGTTTTCATGCACCAAAGCTTTGGGTGTAACCGATAAAAGCCTATATACCCATAGGTGATCGACTGCATCGTTCTTCTTGGCTGTACTGAGATCATTCGACCACAGATTCAAGCACTTGGATAATATATGAAAAGTGCGGCATGACCCCTCCTGCCGTTCGTGTGCACACGAATGCAGTATGAGATGATCACCTCTCTTCCACGGACGTGTCCTCTACCCTTCGAGTCCTTTCGCGTCTCCTTGTGGTTGCATGAATCATGTGTACGCTCGATAAAGAGAAACGTCTAACTGAGGCCAGCAGAGCTCCGCTGCTTGACAAACCTTTATGCAAGCGGCAAACCCAGAGGATCATCGCCGTGTCACTATGCAACGCCGCCGGGACTACGTCCAGGTCCGCGTTTCCCGCGCAATCGAGCTCCTCCAGGGTAATTACCGCTCCGAGCGCGTACGGAAGGGTCTTGAGCCGGTTATTTTGTAGCCGGAGGACTCGTAGGGCCTTGAGATTAGCCAGAGATTCGGGAATTTCCTCCAGTTTATTCTCGGACAAGATCAACTCCTGTACGAGTACAAAACAGGTTAAGGTTCAAACGAAAATATTGCATGCGGTATGGATAGCGAGGGTTGCATGTAGAATGTGTTTATCAAAAGTAAGATCATCTGCAACAACTGTAGCGTAGGTGTCTGGGTTTCTTAGTTTGTCAGACAGTGGAATACATTTCGGATATACACATAATTCAGTAGTCTCGTCGTCATAAAATAATGATGTCGACGTCACGTATTGAAATAGTTGCGATTCACCCAGAAACAAATAGCTCTTTTGCGGGGTGCAAAGGTGCAGAAAAATCACGACCTGCTCCAGGGAAACACCTCTCGAGATTGTTGTTGTCTTCACAATAAAACCGTTCCGGTCTCCACTCAGTACCTTCTAATGTCTGTACTGGTCCAACTGACGCGGATGCCTTCCGTGGTCACAAGCCAACTTGTGTCCCGAAATTCTGATCAGATGCCTCTCTGTCTCTCCGTACCTCAAGTAGAGAGCAATGTCCAAGCTCGGCCGGGATTCCTTCCACGTAGTTGCCGTTTGCTTTTAGCTTCCGCAACCGAATGCACTTTCCCACCTCGGGAGGCAATGCCTCCAGTTTGTTACATGATATATCTAACTCTCTGAGACAGAACAAACAACGGGGGGGCAGCGTACAGATACATCATGGAGCACCGATCGTAGCCGAGAATTGCTTCAGCTTCAACCTTGGAGACGTTGAGCGAGAAGAGAACAGCAATGCATCGCAGGGAAAACTTCGTCTTCACGTATGATGGTTTTGGATATAGATGTGTCATAGCGTACAGACGTGTTGGCGGTTCTACCTGCTGAGAGCTGCCGACTACCACCGTCAATGCTACCGTACGTGTTTATTTGTTCACGTTTGGTGCTCACTTCAGAAGAACGAGGTCGCCTAGCTCAGGAGGGAGGTACTCGATGTTGTTGAAAGAGACGTTGAGAACAATCAGCTCTCGTTTCCTGCCCCCGTTAGAATATTCCCCGCACAAACGCGTGTTAGGAGCAGCAAAAGGCACATGTTCAAGAGCAGGTCGTCAAAGCTCAGCAAGGTCAGCACAGAGCGATTGCTCATAACGAGTGATTTTACGTGGGGCTCCTGCTTGGTAACTGACTATGTAGATATGAAGGAATCGGAGGATGGATCAAATCAGCTGATGCCCTTTTCTTCAAAACAAACGAGAGAGCTTACATGGTCCATATTACGCTGTCTAACAGCACCCAAGCCCTGTGCGTAAGGTTCAACAGCCCATTACTGTCTGGATGCGGCACGAGCTCGTCGACTTCTTCCATCTAAACTGCTGTATTTGGTTGCTCGCAGCAACCGGGGTTTTGGTTGCTTCTCGCGGTTTTTGATCAGACGGGTACCGCGACTCCACTATCTCATCCACGCGTGCTATCTCATCCAGCCCAAGCTTGCACGGGACTGCGGAGAGATATGATGTAGCACAAGTGATCTGATTTGTTGAATTGCTGTGCTACATCTCGACAGTCCCGTAGCTTCAGGCGTTTCAGAGATCTCCGATAAAACACGCGATGGAACTCCATGGGAAATAATGGGAGATCTGGTCTCCTCCTCCTCTCTCCTCTCTGCTGCTGTCGTTGGGGACGTGGTACTTCGCGCTTCGTACGACCAACGGAGAGAGGCATACCCCTTCGACGCACGTGCCGGAAGCCTGCAGCTGCGGACAAGGTAGGAGATGACCGTGGCCTGCTAATTATAGCAGTTGTGGTCAGTCGCCAATTAGGTGTGTCCCTCCAACTCGTCCGCCAAGTGTTGCTTTGACAGGAGGTGTAGGGAGCGATGATGTGTTGGTGATTTCAAGGACATGGATGCTGTCTGCCGTAAGACTCGCACACACATGCACTGACTGTTACTAGAGGTTAACAGAGCTGGTCGACTGTCGCTGGCCGATGTTTTTGCTTATGTTGAGGCTCGCATGCATCAGGCAGGTGTAGTGTGGGCGTTGTCTTGTCTCTTGTTCCGCTTTTTTTCCGATTGCAGGGCTTTGAATGTTTCTTCTCCACCGCGTCCTAACGAAGCTAAAGCAGTATGCACGTATGTACCAGGAGATACATTTGCAATTGAAGGCTGCTTCGCTGGTGTCGGCGGCCGCTGTTTGTGTTACAACCTTCTAGCATACATCGCACGATATCGCCGTGCAGTTCCACTCCCATCCTCCGCGTTGCCAGAGTGGAGGGCACAAGCTGGGTGGACTGCTGTGCGGTGTTGCGTCCAGTGTTACGCAAACGACGCGTACCAAGGCATCACTATCGTTACAGGCTCTCCATATGAAGAACTCGAGCATGTGCATATTACGATGCATGTCCATCGTTTCTCCTTCTTTCGTATTCCACCTGCGCATTCTGCGCACCTTGCAGCGCATTCTGCGCACCTTGCATATAACATTTCGTGTCCTTCATGGAGTGCATCTGCCAAATTTTGGAATTTTAATTTTCATCGCAGATCCTTGCCTTGGCTTGTTGTCGCGAACAGGGTTCAGCGATCTGTCCATGGGGCGATTACATAGGCCGGATTTTGTACTGCTTTACTACCGAACAAAAGTGTCTAAACAGCAGCGTCACAACGGTCGTTTGGTATCTATTTCAATCCCCACAGAAACCGTTCCGGGCTGTGCATCCGTTGACACTTGCTTTCCGCTGCAGCAGCGTCACAACGGTCGTTTGGTATCTATTTCAATCCCCACAGAAACCGTTCCGGGCTGTGCATCCGTTGACACTTGCTTTCCGCTTCCGAGCATCTTCCCAGCCTACATAGCCCCTACGGTGCCGCACCCCACATTACACCCATTAAGGCTAGTCCTCGCTGTTGTCGATGGCATCCACGGGCCCCGATAATCTAGTTCGGGGTGATCGTGTTTGCTCTTGGTTCCTGAGGGAAGCGCCTCTGGAAGCCATTTAGGTTGGGCTTCGTCTCCCACCACCTTTCCTTCAGGATATGATCTGTCATCGCTCACCCTCCGTGCTGGTGTATCACTCGGCACTGCAGCGTTCGCTGTGCGGCTGTTTCTTGTGCGCATACTGATCTTCTAACGCTAGCCATCGTTCACCATCGTGATCCAAAGAGGGCACCCGGCCCGTCGTATACCCCCCCCACCCCCCCACCCCCACCCCGCGCCCGCCAAACAGATGCCGCAGCGCCTCCCGAAGCGAGTATCCCCGGGCTGCTCCTTCACCAACAAGGCTGTCTGCGTCGTCTACACCACGCTTGCTATTCACGCGACTTCCGGCGCTGCGTCGCTGGCTTTCTTGCCTCCGATAACGAACCGGTCTTTGGACTACGCTCATCATCACCACCGCTCCACAAGCAACAACAATGACATCAACAGCAACGTTGGCCCGGGCGTAGACGCAGGCGGCGGCCGTCACCGTTTATCCGTACAGCTGCGGCACGGACGCGATATCGGTTCATCCTTGTTTTCTCGTCTGAAAGCAGCGGCGTCATCATCGCCTTCAGATGGGAATTTCAGAAAAGGTGGTGGTTGTAGCGGCGGCGGCAGCAGCAATGAGGGTGGAAGGGGAAGTGGAGGGGGCGCCCGCACCTTGAAGTGTTCCGCAACGGCAGCGGCAGCGGATGTTGCTAGGGAACGGGACCCTTTCGTTTTGGAGGGGGTGCAGAACATCAGGGACCTGAGTTCGGTGGAAGGGTACGGTATCGTTGCGGGGCGCGTTTTTCGCACGGGGCACTTGTCCGCTGCGACGGAGAGGGACGCAAAGACACTCAGAGACAGCACCGGCTTGCGAACTCTGGTGAGCATAGAAGGAGGTGTCTTCCTTGCCCTGTGGCCGGTTTTGTAGCGGGAGGAGGGGGCGGGAAGAGGGGGCGGGAGGAGGGGGTGGGCGCCGCACAACGTGCTCACGACTCTCAGCGCTTAGCACGGCCAACTGAACTACGTCGGGGCGTGACGCTAGATTCGATTCATGCCTACGTGGACACGCGGCCGGGAGGAGACAACAACACACATAACACGTCACAGTAGCACGTTTCATCTTTCAAGGAGGCGAAGAGAAGTTCTGCAATCGGTGGGGCATATAGTGCTGTGCCTGCGACGGGGTCTGGCATGAAAGATGAATTACACACACTTCCATGAGAGCAATAAATCCGCTGCGCTGAACGCTTTGTGACGTCGAAACGAGATAGAAGCACGTTTGTCTGCTCACCGTAGGGTCGCTGTGTGGCCTCTAGTGGCACCCGGTGTTATGTGGTCCTCAGGCGGCCGTATCACGTCGCACGACCGGCGAGAAGTGGCCCGCAATTCACACCAGCGCATACGATAACCGACGGATACAACATTCTTTAAGTCTTGGTCCCCGTTTTTTATTTTCCCTTGTTTTCCGCTGCGTGCCGGGTGGTGTCGTAGGTGGACCTCCGAAGCGCGACCGAGCTGGGTCACGACGAGCTGATCCACGGCGATGTCTACGAGGGGTTCGTCAACGTCGGAGGGGGTGACCACAGTGGCACGGGGGTGTCGCAGGGGCCCGCGTGGGACGAGGCGATCCAAGGGGAAAGCAACGACGCCCTACCGGTACAAGGCAAAGTAGGGGGAGCATCAGCAGGAGCGGGGGGAGCGGAGGAGGGGGTGGTTGTGGAGGGACATAACGGCGGGGGATCAGAGAAGAAGAGGAGATACTTCGTCTCTCTGATCGATGAGAGCATCTACAAGAAGGGGGTCTTCCAGAGATTGCGCAGGCGGCACAAGGTCCGTGCGTCAATCTTTGTGCTACCATACGCTGTTCGCGGTTCGCGTACAGGATGCTGTTTGATGTCTTTTCACCATCCCCAAATGTGGAGAGATCCGGACCCGTGGGGTGAGCAGAAGCACCTTGCTTTTTCAGGAGTTCTACTGCTGATGACATTCCTAGGCTGGATGGGTGAGGTGCCCTTAACCCTTTTGAGTCTTCAGGCGTTCTCACTGATCATTGATTGATCATTTGCAAATGCTGGTGTAGTGGCAAGTCGTGGAGTTGCCGCCCTGCAGCCCTTCGCGCCGTGTATTGGCAAGTCCATAGGGTAGGTGTGTCTAGATTATTAGCATCCACGCTAACCGGCTGACCAATGAAGAGACTTCAGTGACAGCGGGTAACATCAAGGTCTCGGGAATGGGAATGGGGCCAATCAATGCCAAATCATGAATCTCTCAACGTATGCACATGTCAATGAACGCGTGTGTGCATACAGTACATACATACATACATATATGTGTTCTTTCGAAGCACCACACATACACTCGCCCGAACGTAGGAAGCCACTGCTGCAAAGAGCAGAGGACAGCAAAAGGGAGGGGTATTGCAGTCCCTGCCGAAGCCCAGATATCGAGGATATCGTGGTTCCCAACAATTTGAAAATCGTTCCCAAGATCCAGCAGTCATTGTGTCAACAGCTACAACGAACGCTACAACAACACTACTACTACTGCTGTAGACGAGTAAAACATATCAGCAACACATCCACACTCGTAGCGCCACACATACCACCCTCGCCCGAACCTAGGAAACCACGAGGTACAGGTGTGTGCTGGTGGATGTGCTTGTTGTTTGAAAAACACAGGAGCTCTAGAGAGTTGGCAGGGCACATTTCGGGGGGGGACAGAGAACAGAGAAGTACAGAAGTACAAATACCAGCTATGGGTCTTCACTGATCATTTTGCCCTCTCTGGACTGATCATTTACAATATACCGAAAATAGACTAGTTGAGGCAGCTAGACGACTGATCATTTCAAAGGCTACACAGCTAACCTGCCCTACTGACCGTAGCGCGACCACCCACCAACCCTTCTACGACCCTGTCTGTGGCCACCACCCTGTCGCCGGCTTCTCTCATGGCCTACAGGTGGAGATAGCTGTTGCGTGTGCAGAAGTACACTGGTCTCTTTCTCTGCACTTCTCTCTCTCCCGCTCGCTCTCGCTCTCATTTTTTTTTTTTGGCGCCAAGTTGGCGCAAAAAAAAAAATCTGACAGTCCAGCCTAGACCCAAAGGGGTTAACACCTCCGCGCCACTCCCGTTGATCTCGGTTTGTAGCTAAAGTTGTCGTGATCTGTTTATTTTTCTGTTATGTCGCAGGCAGCAGTTCTGGCGCTCGCCCCAGCAACGATGGTATCCCGTCGTTGCACGCAGAAGGCGCGCGGCATATTTTTGCGAGAGATCAACGCCGGCGGCTTGGTGCTCCTCAACGAGGTACAAAAATAGGGACAGATTGCACTGCGGGACACAAAAGATCGTGTTCAACCATGTGTTCACCTGCATCAATTATGTGTTGACCTACATCCACAGAAGCCTACCACCCCTTTGAGCGCCTGCCGGATTAACAAACGGCACGTATCTTTTTGTTTCGAACCTCGCAAATCCTCCGCTTTTCCTCACCGGCTTGTCCTGAGTGGGCAGGTCGTACCCACGGGCACTATTGTTGCCGGCGTGTGGCCGCACGAGAGAAGGCTGCGGGTGAACGCTGCTGCTAATGCTTTGCTGTTCATGTGATTCGTTTTGCCATCTGGTCACGTCCCGTTTCTGCTCGGTTTTGTTCTTGGTTGATTGATGCCAGTTGCTCCTGCAGTACTCGGGGGACGGGATTAACCGCGTGCTGCGTCTGCTGGCGTCGAAGGAACACCATCCCGTTGCCCTGTACTGCACCGCAGGTGTGTTACAGCCATGTCAGCGATACATGCACGTTGCTGAGCATAGGTGTGTGTGTGTGCGTGTTGTGTTTTCGTCCTATTATTATGGCGACCCCATTCTTCGTGGTGAGACGTGCACTACACTTTCAGTGTATTTTTTCGTACAACTACAACCATACAGGGTCACACAGGAGGGGGTATACACCCGGCCTTTTTTGTTCTTTTTATGTTTTTCGTGCCCCCCTTCCTCCTGCGGTGCGTGCTGAATTTTGTTTTTATCGCGAGAAGGGTCCAGCGGTCCCTTTCCCTCGTCAACGGTGCTAACGTCGAAGTTTGGTACTCACGAGAGCTTTTTCAGCTATGTTTCGCTTTCACCCGCAATTTTTTGTAAATTTTGCATCCGATGGGGATTCGAACTCACGACCTTTGCGACAAGCGGTTCTCAAGGATACCACTAGACCACCGGGGCGGCCGGCTACAAATTCACCGCGAGTGGCAGTAGCAAGGGCGCGGTCTGAATGGCGTTGGCCATAACCGCGGCAGCATCGACTCCGCCAGACGCCAGCACGACAAACTACGAGCGCCCGGATTTCGCGATTTCTCGAAACCGTGGCGGGGGGATCTTTTCCTCCTCCCATGAACCTTGTGCTGACCACTGTGTGCACCGGCATGCACACATACAGGGAAGGACCGCACGGGGCTGGTGGTAGCGTTAACGCTGGCCGTTCTCGGCGTGCCGGATGAGGCGATTGTGGATGACTACGCTAAGTCTGACAGTGCCTACAAGCAGCTCGCCGACAGAGATGCCATGGTTGGAGCGCTTGCGCAGGTTTGTTAATTTGTTTTCTAGACCATGGTGTTGCGTGTGCGCGATCTTCAAGCGTGACAACGTGACAACGTGACAACACGCAATCGGATGGACAACGAGTGTAATACGCGAGCGCCGAACGCTTCAGTGTTTCTTATCGGCCGCGGAGCAAAGAAGTGTGTCATAGTCCTAGAAGTGGTTCCCGCGTCGGTCTTTGCTGGCGTCATCGACGCAGTTTGATGAGGAAGCTGCAATATTTGCCACAAGAAGCTCTGAACAAAGCGATACGCCGACCTGCGCACCAACACGATTCGTGTGTAAGACATCGCCGCTTTGTGTGTGGTGCGGTCTTTTGGCCAATCGATCGAGGGACCATGCACGCCTTGCTGAAAATGTGACGCTGCCTTTTGTTCTGTGTTTTTTTGTTTGGTGTCTGTTGGTTGTGTGGTTTTTTGTTTGGGCGTTTGGTCACACCCGCTTCTACGTGCGCTACTTCTCGCGGTGCAGTCTATTTTCCGACTCAAACCACTCCACGATCATGTGATGCCTCAACTGCCGTGCGGGTTTTCATTTCGTGCTCCATTTTTTCTCGGCAATGTCGATTTCTGGCCGTGCCGACAATGCCGGTATTGCAGCAAGACTTGGATCCAGACACATTTTTGGGTGCTCCGCCCCACGTCATGGAGGGGGTCCTGCGCTTCATTCGGGTGGGTTGCTGGCCGTTGCCGTTGATGTTGGGTGCTTTCGTCGCCAATCGTAATACCAAGAGCCCGCAGAGCGATAATTGTGGACAGCGTGCCGCACCCCGGAATAAAAAGTGCCGCAGAGAGGATGAAAGCAGCTATTCGATATGATCCCGTCGCCGCCGCGGAATCTCCGGAGTTCGCCGCACAGCCTAGTGTTCACACCCGCACCCGTTTTTTGTCCGCATCTGTCGCACGTTACCCTCCCGGCACGGCTGTCAGGTGAAGTACGGGTCGATCGACGACTACCTCGACTCCATCGGGTTTGACGCCGAGTGGAGAACGCGGCTGCGCAGCGCACTCTTGTCCTAGTAAGCAGTACTTTCGTTACCGGATCGGGCGGTATGAACGGAGGTTGAGAGAGATGCTCGCCAAGTGCCTCACTCCCTCTATTCCCTGCTTCTTCATTGTCTTCATCGCTAGCGTGTTGTGCTCTCCAACGGGGTTGCGGATTGTGCGTAGACAAGATGTGCGCTCCAACAGCGCGCGAAGGTATCTACGTGCCGAATTTTGTCAAATGCCACTACCGTACCAAGCGTGTTTCCAACGATCACGAAGCGCGACGGTTCCGATTGAGTTGATGCCCGCTTGAACGTAGCGTTTGCCACTACTGGCATCAGCAGACCCGCTTGGGAAACCTGAAGACGTGTATTTGTGCGGCGCGATGGGGCAATACCCTGCCCCCCCCTCCACCCCCTCCTGTCAACCGGTGGGTTTGGTTTTGAGGTTTAGTCGTCACCCGGGTATTTTTGGTACGGTCGTGGTGGTTTTGTGGTCTCAAAAAGGGATACACAAGTTTCAGTGGTTCCCCGTATTGCAGACTTTTTGTTGTGTTCTTCTACACACTTTTGCTTGGCAGTCTAGGCTGCCGTCGATGTGAACTGCCTGAAACCGCAACGCAGTAATTTTACGAGCATGCGGAAACTTGAGGCCGAGCGCAAATCCTCCATTCGTATTGAGTTGATCCGCTGAGTGTACATATGTATTGGGACGGGGACATCGGGGGGTCTCTTTGCTTTTCCCATTATTTTGTTGGAACAATTGCTGCAGTGTTCAAGGCGGGGGGGTGCCTAGGAGGATGCCGGCCTAAATAGTGAAACGCCTCCTTCCTGGGTACGAGAACAAAAGTACGGCGTGAAGGGTGGCACAACGCCTCATTGGTCTTCACGAGGGGTGTATATACATCGATATGACTATTCTGTGCAAGAGATCACCATTGGAACATGTTGATGTTTCTAATCTTCGATTGGTTTTAGGGAGTACGTATCGTCTTGACTCCCTATGCGTAACCCTTGTCCTGAGCGCCTGTCCAACATTTGATCTGGAGCTGGTATTCTTCGCGGATTGATTGTGCTGGCAGCCACGCCTTGGCTCAAGTCGACTGCTGCGCACAACCATACCAGATGATTACTTGCCTCCCCCACCATTGGTCGGCAGCGGTGCCGCACTCACTTTCTTCGTGTGCTCACTGGTTGGGTGTTGGTGAGTAACAACCTGTTTGGTTGGATGACGCCAATCTTTTGCCATTTGCGTGTGGCAAGCCCATAAAACATGCGAGAGGAATGCGACCCGTCCGGTCAACACCAGACCCTGTCTTAATTAAAAGGTTGCGGGTAGCAACCCGCACCAACCACCACTCCAGCGACAACGAACGCCTTGCCGGCGTACATCGCCATCAGCCCAACAGCACCGTCCTTTCAACAGAGAACATTACTCGGCAAGATCGAGGTACCACACCAGATCAGAGGTCGACATGTGTCGCTGTGAGCAAAACCTTGAGGACGTCTCATGAGTAACGTGTGCTGACCACGCCTTGATCCTGTCGTACTGTCGCCGACCGACAAAGTCACCGAATTCAACAAGAAATGTGTGCCAACCAAGGTCGCGTTGATTCTGTCGTACAGTCGCCTTTTTGAAATTTTTTCTTATATCGAACATCTGGAACCCACGTGGACATCACTCACCACATATACACTGG